CTTAAAAGATAGAGCAAGCTGCAGCGAGGGACTCAAATGAACATGATAACAAACATATTAACACGATTTCACACGTTGTGGCATGATTCCTGTGATACTAATTATGTTACCTAGGTTATACCCCCCCTACTCCTCCCAATTCTATTTGTGTACGTCATACTTTTCTCTGTCGTGGCTCAGCATCAAATACTACCTACTGTGTAATTCACCCACATTATACTTGATTATATCCAATAGTGCACTTATGTATGGCATGAGTACATGATAACCATGAAACAAAAATTCCTCCATCCAAGAGTTACTGGAAAAGGGATAAAGTGCATATACAGGAGATATCTGATCCAAAAGAGCATGATAACAAATAACTATTTGAAAAGAGTAGGTTTTTAAAGAAAGAAGAAGTGAGCAATAAACAGTTAAACTAAACAACATTAAACTTACTTAAGGTCATGGCTGACAACAAGCAATGTCAACTCTTTCTTCAGGTCTTTCAACAACTTAACAACATCTGCGCGGGCCTTCCAATCTAACACAGATAAACTTTCAGTACATTGGAGATGGGAATCAAAACAAAAGAAAATGGAGGAATTGGCCTAACTCTACAGCAGAATGGTCCAAAAACCAGTTTAGGAACGAACAATCAGTAAACATCAATAACCAACATAAATCTTAAAGAACCCCAACTCCCAAGTCTCCTCACCCCAAACATAACTTGTCTATTGAAATAAAATTTACTTGAAAGAACAAAAAGACCAATATTAATAGTCACTATTGAAACTTCATCATCTTGAAGAGTACCCAAACATGACAGTTTGTTAGTTTCACAACTTCTCCTTTATATATCCTATCTTCTTTTAAAGACATCCTAATAAGGGCCATTACTCGCATTTGATACCCCCAACTAAGTGAAAATGGACCCATGTATAGGGCCAAAGAATATGAATTTTAACATATTAACTTATATCAGTATATGATTAAAACTATCTCTTTCGTGGAGTTTGGGAAAAGGTTAAACTGCTATATAGTGGCTTCCTCTTGCAGGTTTAGAATATAACATCTAAATAGTATAACTAGAAAGATTAGAGAACAAAACAAACATATTCGTACCTAGACCAGCAAGAGGCTCATCCAATACCAGCAGGTCTGGAGTTTGCACCTGATAAAAGTGAATGAATCTATAGGCAAATCTACCAGACATAAACATCTACCTAAAAATGATAGAACAATATGCTGCTCCATTGTAAGCTAGAGACCATGTATCATAACCAAGAGTTATGGGCATCCTCATCGACAACAAAACATACTAGATCCGACCATGGCAGGACCAGATATACATGGCATATTCCATCTTATGTGATGCAAAACACTGCAGGTATGTGACCACATGTATATCTTGACAATCAAAGACGAACATGTATGCATGCCAAGAAACCATTGTTTTTTTTCTAAAATCACAGGCAGCCATCAAGTATCATTAAAACAAGAAAGAATCTTACCAACTGAATTGCTAGGGCAAGCCGTCTTTTGTATCCACCACTTAGAGATTGGGGATCTTTGTCCAAAGAGATTCCAGTTAGACCAACCTGATAGTTTCATGTATTAACTATTTTAAAGTAAAAACAATGTTAAAAGGAGCAAATGACGATGATACTGGATGCTGATGGATGAATAAATGCTCCGATGAAATCATTTTAGTCTTTGTTAAAACTTATACCGATGTCATAGCTTTCTGGAGTCTTGAAGCGAGAAGCTCTCTCACTTGCAGGCCAGCTCTTTGTCGGGGCCACCCAAATATTATTTCATCGAGAACATTGTCTGCAATAAAAAACCTAGACCAACTTTGACTATCTTAGATACTTATAAGAGTTTCAAAGGCATGACTAGAAAGACGATGCAAGAAAATATCCAAGCCTACAAGAAAAAATCGATGTACGACAGGTGATATTTAATACCTTTCAGGGAACTGGAAAACAATACCAACTCTTCTGGGTTGCAATAATTCCGGTGCCTGATTTGGATGACCATCATCATCGTATCTTTGTATGTAGATTGAACCTGATGTTGGTTTACTTAATCCTGCAATCAGCTGTTTGGCAAGTCAATCATTTGAGCAGTAATTGAACAATATCGCAGGATATAAATAGATGCGGAATACTGGCTGAATTAAGAGATGAACCTGCAATAGAGTAGTTTTCCCGCTTCCACTTCGTCCAAAGATCAGTCCGAAACTGAAGGCGTAACAAAACAAGAGTTATTCCATTTATACATCTCTGCCTACTTCTAGGTACAAAAAACCGGCTAACAATAACTAGAACTGAGATGCATCCACAACTGCACCTGAATTCAATTTGATTTGAGTAATAACAGAAACAAACATATAATTCTCCACGCGGGCAACCTACATAGAGTAGGTCAAATTTCACACATCTGTAAATTGTAATCATTTAGATTGGTTTTCCGTCCTAAGGTTCTGGTTTGCCTCAACACTGCCACTTGCATGGCTATCGCAGAGCAAAAGCAATAAAATCAGATAGATGCTCTTTTATAGTATCAGTCTAAACGTTGACATGGTAAAAAGTACCTGTTCTCTGGAAGTGACAAACTAATTCCATTTAAAAGATCACCCTCGGTCCCTGGAGGTCGATAGGTGACTCCCTTTATCTGAGAGAGAAAGTGAGCAATAATGTTTTAACAACCAACTAAAATAACACAAGAAACAAAAATCTGACAATGCAAATAACTAAAACAAGATAGAGCAATCAACAAAATATTTCTAAAGCTTTGTTTCAACAATTCGAGTCACAAAGATAGCAACACTAATTAAGTTCAGTACCAACGAGACCTAATCCAGGTGCTATACAAAGAAATAATAAAATTATACAGAGCAGAGTCATAGACTAGATCAAACAAGGGGATACAGTCAATTTTTATGTTATAACCGAAATAAGAAATAAATAACTGTGAAATGAAATCAACTGGTGATACTAATTGTGTTGTTCACTTTAGTTAGGATACCTAGGGCGACAACAGATTTATGGAACCAAAAGCATGTTCTCCAACTTTTTGTACTATAAACACTGCAAAAAATTTGACACTATAACAGTTCAAACATCTATCTATCGGAGTGAGATTTAGTGAACAAAATTGAAAAAGTGGAAACAAAGTCTGAAAGCTTCCGTTAGGACGAGAACTCGTTTATATGTTAAAAATTCTTCGGATGTAGCTCAGCATATTGAAATGAAACTTGCGGACTTACTTCGAAGCAAGAGTAATCACATGCGATTCGCCGCGCTCGAAAGGTTTTTGAATTCAGGCTGTCATCGGAATAAATCGAAGCAAGTGATAATCCAAACAATGAAAATAAGCTCCGACATAATTAATTTAATTCAATGCATTCAAATAATCTTCCACAAAATTTATCGATAATGAAATAAAATTACATAAAAAGGGGAAATAAATGATGAACCTGAAGCGAGATGGAGACGAGACGATGGAAGATGATCGGCCTACTGGCGGCTTCGAACCAAGTAAAGACGCCGACGGAATCCGAGCAGTCGCCATTACTGGTTTACAAGTGTGGGAATTAAAACTGCACCGTTTGTGTTGGAATTTCTACTATTTTCGTCTTCAACAATTTCTATGGATATTAATTTAAATATTTAATTCATAATAAATGACGAGGCAAGAAAAAACACGGAAATTAATCGGTCAAGCCCAAAGTACTAAATAGGCCCAATCCTAAAGAACTAACGTTTCATAAATGAATCTCTCTTATTAGTTATTAGATTATATATATACGAATAATTTGTATATTGTAAAAAATAAAAATCATTTAAGGTAATAACAAAACAATGATACTCCATATGTGCCAAAATATTTGTGGGTTTTAAATAATCAAATCGTTCATTTACTATAAATACGCTGAAAAAACTGATGTTGTGAGAATACATAATAGATGGCGTAAATTGGAAAGAAAATCAAAGAAAAGTAACCAAAGTTAAATTTTATGTATGTGGGCTAGGTCCCTATACAATAGTGAACTATAGATAATTGTCAAAGACCAATTACTTTAATTATTTATTGATGGCTTCTTGCACAAAAGGCGAAAATATAAATAATTGTTAGAGACCAATTAGTTTAATTATTTATTGATGTCGAAATCCCTCGCTCTCAAGGCCCCATTCCTTAGTCCGACAAGAATTGACGGAGGAATGTAAATTATGGTAACTCAACGGCCCGTTAAGGTAGCGGACCCGACAAGGAACCATCCCCTATTGGAGTTGAAATTCCCACACTGCGGCTGCCAGGATTCGATCCTAGGACCTTGCACCAACTTACCACCTCTGGAACCAGATGAGATACACTCTATGCGGGTCCACAGAAGTGTCAAATAAGATATATATATATATATATATATATATATATATATATATATATATATATATATATATATATATATATATATATATAGGGTAAATTACACACACCCCCTGAGGTAAGCTTAAATAACTGTAAGGTCCCTATGATATCGATAATTACACTTAGCCCCCTGAAACGTAGTCAGAAACTCTAATGGGATAATGAATTGGATACGTTATTCCGATAGGGTTCTAACGGACTATTGGTTTCAGAAAGTGGTGAAGACAACAAAGAGCTATGGGGTGACATGCTCCCCGACATTCCCGACATTCTAA